TATATATACACATATATATGCATATATATACATATATACACATATATATGCATATATATATACATATATATATAAAAGATCAAAATTCAGTAAGACATTCTGTCAGAAAATATGTAAACCAAGAGATAATAAAATGATTCTACACTCACCAAAAAATATCTTTCAAAAATGAAAAATACAGATATTTTTAAATGAAAAAAGCACAGAAGAATTAATTACCAGTAGATCTGCAACATAAAATATATCAAAGGAAGTTGTTTATGCAAAAAGAATGTGATACTAGACAGAAATGGGGAGCTAACAAAGAAACAACGAGCATTGGGCATGGTAAAAACAGCGGTGAATGTGAAACTTTTTTTTAGAATTTTTAACTGCTCTAAAAAAATAACTATCTAAAACAAAAACAGTAACACTGTACTTTGTCTTTATAACCTATATAAAAGTAAAATATATGGCAATAATAGAAAAAAAAAGAACTCACAAACTATTAACATCAGGAATGAACAAGAGGATTATCACTGCAGACCTTACAGACATTAAAAGAATAAGGAAATAGTACAAACAACTCTACACAGATAAATTCAACATTAAAAACTACAACTACCAAAACTCACTCAAGAATAATCATATAATCAAAAAAATCCCATTTCTATGAAACTTATTTGTAGTTAAAAACGTTTCAAACAGAAGGAAACTTTCTGTGGTGTAAAAGAAAGCTGCTTGGAAGAAGGCGGCTAATTCTGTCTAGGTCTCACTAACTCTACAAGACAAGAAATGCTGTTCCAAACATAAATGCTGAACCTGCCTCACTTCATTACACTCAGAAGGAGACATGTAATATTTTGTAATATTAAAAATAATGACATCAAAAGAACAAGTACTTGAGCAAAACTATTTCTATACACATCCAGTAGACTGCCTAGTAAATAACATTTATATGATAATCCTGAGTGTTATATTAAGAGTACCAGTTTAAGATAGGTAAAACACATTTAATAAGTAGCTAAAACATAAAATATTTCTATTTTAAAAACTAGTTAAGTCTTTTAAAAAATCCCAGAAAATATAATCATCTGGAAAGATTAGTATTCCAAAGTGTCAAATCTTTGAGGTTTTACTGATTTCAGGATTTTTATATCATAAATTTATCTCCATTAACTCACTAGTTGAACTAAACAACAGGCAAGTGAAATATGTGATGCCTTTGTAAAAACAAAAACACCTTATTAGAGTTACATAGTTTTATTATCTAAAGACAAACAAAAAACAAATCTCAAATTTTTTTTCCCTGATAATATGCCATATACCAATAATTATTGATGTAGACACAATGAATTGAAATGTCTGAAAAATTAAACCAATAATACTTTCAAATGTATAAACCTTTAAAGTACAAATAAAACAAAATTTACCTCAGACACAGGTTCTTGTTCCTTAGTGGGAGCTTCATTTTTTAATCTTGAAAACAAAATAAGTATTGAATATTTTATATTTACAATGGAAAAATATGAGACAGTTCTTTTTTGCATGTTTAAAATAATTAAAATGTAAATCTAAACTAAAGTAGATTTGTAAATGACTTCTATAAATGTTTTAAGGGAAAAATAAAATGCACAAAATAAACAGATTCAATAAATGTGCTAAATAAATTAATACAGACATGTATTTCCTTCTTTTCTAAAGTTAAGAGCACTTATGAAATTTTCTCTATGTTAAATACAATTATAAATAAAGGACATAACACATTAGTAAAACAATTTCAAAAAAGGAATTACTTTTCATTTAAAAAATGAAAGCACGTTTTATGCCTCATATATAAACATGCATGAGTATTTACTATTATAGGGCTTAAAAAGGGAGAAAAGAGAAAGAGAAATTTTATCTATTATGAAATTCAATGTAATGCTATTTTGATATCTATTATAATTAAAGTGGCAAACTCACAGAAATAATTTAGAATTCTGAAGGATATAGTCTCTTAAGAGCCTTCATAAGCATAACTCAAATAGTAACTATAAATTTTTAAACTTGGCTTCTAGAAATAAAAAACTAATTGTAACTTATTACAACATTCAGAAAGGCATATACCATCTATAAAATCTTTTGAAATAATTTAATATAAAAGCTAGCTTTCCCAAAAAATCTTTTACAAACTGCTGATAACTCAATATTATTTGCTGATATTATATATTAAGCTCAATTATAAACCATATAAGTTGAGTGCCTACCTGATCTAAAATGCCATTAATACATAGTAAGGTGAATTCATTATTTTATGAAGGCTTACAGTTATACCTAAAAGGTTAATACATTTAACATAAGCAACAGTTATACTGACTTAAATTTCATGTACACAAATGAAGACATATAATAGGATAGAAATGTCAAATATCCTAAAAGCTACTCTCATGGTTAGTGAAATACAGCTGGTGTACATACATCCTTTTCTTTCTCCATTCTCTGTAGTCAAACTGAAAAAAGTGGGTTGATAAAGGCTAATAATTTACTAGATATTAACAATAATTTGTGTAAAATTACTTATCTATATTTTAATTATTACATGAGATTGCAAACCATTGGAAATTGAGCATGTTTTTTTTGTTCTTTTACTCTGTTAGTAGTGTATTACAATAATTTATAACTAATTTACTAAACAAATTTAAGCAAATAAAACTTGCAGAAATATTGACAAAATGCATAAATGTCAATCATTTTGGGAGTCAAAGATTTCGTAATTCTCGAAAGTGTTTAACTGTGAAAAACAATATTCATACAGATGAAATTTCAAGTGTTTAGTCTAACTTCATTGCTTTAATGATTTATACAGGAAAATGCTAGTCTTAAGAATAATATCTACAAAATAGTAAGAAAATATGAGACCTTAGTCTGAAGAAACAAAAAGTAAACATTGGACTAATGAAATTTTAAAGTAAATTTGAATAGGAATGCCTGGGTGGCTCAGTTGGTTAAGTGTCTGACTCTCAATTTTGGCTCAGGTCATAATCACACCATTCATTAGAGTGAGTCCACGTTGCTTGGGATTCTCTCTTTTTCCCTCTGCCCCTCCCCCTTTAGCACACTCATGTGCATATACTCTCTCAAAAATAAGTAAATTTTAAAAATCTTTAAAATAAATTTGTATATTACAACTGATTTTTATTTCTAAGCAGTTAATATTTTAAACTCAGTTTGAAAAGCCGTGCAACAAACTACTCACAAAGTAGTTTAAAAATATTTTATAAAAGAATTTTCCTTCTCAGCTTATTACTGAAATATTATCAAAGATCAACCTTACATTCTTACAAAAGAAACTTTACTATGCTTATCATTTTCACATATGGCTGTTCTAATGAACGGATTTTATGCAACAATTAAAATGAAAGCCAATAAGCATGTGTTACTATTATTGCTGTCATTTCATTTGGGGAAACTGGGTACTCCTACTATCTCTGGAAGGTAGGTTAGTGACAGAGGTTTTTATTACGCTTCATTTTACTGGCTAAGAAACTAGTAAATGAGAACAAAGTAAGTTATTGAAATAATTAGCAGTAAGAGGTCTATGATCCCAATCTTATTTTAACTATACTGATATTCTGTTTATGGAACAGAATTATAATCACCAGTGAAATACTTAAGAAAATATTTAAAAAATTAGAAAAGCACACTGTAAAAAATTTCAGAGTTACAAATTCATCACTAAAATGTACACTACATTTTTATAATTACAAAAGCATACTTTAAGATTAACAAATTAAAAAAAGATTAACAAATTTTAATGCAACTCATTAACATTTATTGGAAAAGAAAAAAATGTTCTTACCTGTAATACTTATTCATTAAAGATACCTGCTGAAATAGTCATCATTTGAGATATTCAATTGCTTGGCAGAAGACAGTGAAATTTGCTAAGCTCAAAGTTCTGAGCTAAAGACCTGCTATTTAAGTTAATTACACTTTTCACCTGGGAATGTTGCAATAACTTTTTATAGAAAAATGTAGTACAGCATTTAAAACAAACACTAAGATTTCAGTGTAAAGAGAACAGAAAGACTGGTGATCAATTTCAACAATGATTAGAAATCAAGATTGCAAATAAGTTACTTTTTCTCTGTATGTGAACTTGCTGAAACAGATCTTTCTGATAAAGGACAATCCTTTCTCTCTAAAGGTTAAAGTAAACTAAATGTCACTTCTTGCATTTTTCTGCAGGTCATATAACTAATCCAAGGCTACATGTAAAATAAATATTTCAGGTCAATTACATTAGTGTGCTCTTTGCAGGTTTCATTCATCCTATATACATAACCACGGGTTAAAGGGAAGAGCTATAAAGGGAAAAGTGTTCAGATTCATTTCAGCCAGGCTACATTCTTTCCTTCTAATCACATTTAAAAGCCCCAAATTTCAATGCTGAGTTTTAAAATGTAATCTTCAATTTCAGAATATTTGTAAGCATATGAAAAAAGCTAAAAAGTTGTAAAAGCCAATAGTAAAATCAATCAGTTCTTAAGATCTTCCACTTAGACACTCATGATTGAATTTAAGATAGTAATCACCAGACTAATAAATTGTACTAAAACATCTAGTCTACCATTTCTGATCGTATGTTGTGGGAGATGTTAATAGATATGCAGAAAGGGTAACTGAGCTAAACATTTACTAGGTTGCACATGCATCAGGTACTGTGCTAAGAGTTCCAGTCCAAAGACACAGTCCCTCCAATCAAGGAATTCACCATCACCGTAAAGGAAACATATAGAAGCAAATGCTTATGTACTGTTGAAAAAGAGACATCTATATGACGGAATGACTGTACAAAGAAAGGACTGAGCCACTATGAAGGGGAACATGCAAGGAAGCAATGAATATACTACAGTAAACCTGGTTTTGCAGCAAGAGCAAGGGTTAGCAAAGCAGGAGAAAGGGATTCAAGGCAATGCAAAAGAAAAGAAGTATGAAACAAGACAATGATACAAGAACCTGAGCGGTCTCATAAGCCTGAAATGTAGGGAACAAAGGAGAGGGGTCAAAAACACAATTGAGGAAATAGCAAGGACAACTTCAGGAAAGATGTTGATTGCCTGGGTAAAGTGCTTATGTTAAGAACTTTATTTTCAGGCGAACAGGAAAGTATGATTAAATTTGTGCATCAGAAATGCAAAGGGTAGGGATGCCTGGATGGCTCAGAAGAGTGTCTGACTATTGATTTTGGCTCAGGTCATGATCTCGTGGTCATGAGCTCAAGCCCCATGTGGGTGGGTCTCCATGCTGAGTGGAGAGCCTGCTTGGGATTCTCCCTGCCCCCCTCTCAAAATAAATACCCCCTCCTCTACTTTCTCCTTTACTATTAAAATAAATAAACATTTTAAGAAAAAAAGAGAAAGGGTAGTATTAGGAGAGGATAGGTTCCACCCAGGAAGTCCAGAGAAGAGACAGTTAATGCCTGTTTCAAGTAAAGCAGTAGTGTCAATAAAGAAGAGGAAGGTTTAGGGAGACAACAAACAAAATAAAAACCAACAGAATATAAGTACCAACTTGATAAAGATAAATGAGTAGAGTAAATAGGACCACCTATATGTCTGCCTCAAGTGGCAAGAGAATGGTAATACTATTAACCAAGAAAGGAAATTCAGGCGGAGAAACAACATATACTGTGGGGGGAAAATGAACTTGTGATGCCTGCAAAACATTATATTTACCACTCAGAACTGCTCAGGGTTATTTATTTCATCCTTGAAGAAAAATTCCAACCATCACTTCCAAACAGATAACCTCAGAGTCATCATCCAGAGCTTTACCCCACCCCCATTTTTATTAGTTTATTTCAATCAATCAACAATTCAATTCAGAAATATCACAGTGTATTAGAATTAGACTTGAGCCCTAAGAGATTGTACAACTGTCCCTGTCTTATAGATGAGAAAAATGTGAAGCCCAAAAATGCTAAATAAGTCTATTAAGCAATAGAACCAGGATTAAAAGTGGTGGCTCTACTTCAAATTTCCACTGCATTGCTTCACAGCCAATTCCTTTCCTGTGAATCAGGCTCCCTTATAATCATTCCAAGAAAATTGAAAAAGCTTAACTGATCTCTCTGCCTCTGGATGTTTTCCACTCTTAAATATGCTGAGTATCATTGCCAAATTAATCTTACTAATAGACCAATTTATGGCCATTGTTTGCTGAAATGTCCTATTGCCTACAGTACATCAATGCTACAAGTGTGTCAGCTGCTGCCTACCCTCCTGTGAAAACACACTGAAGCCCAGTCCCATGTAGCTCCGCAGCCAATCAGAAACAAAGCAGGAATTACATGTGTAACCACAAGTACAACCAGAGAAGCAATAGCGTACAGTGCTTATTACTTTGGTCTCTGAAGACAGACTGCCATAATTTAAATGGAGTCTCTCTACTTGAAAGCTATGTGACCTTGAGAAAATTATGTATCTGTACCTCAA